TTAGAAAACTGTTCTTGTGCAAATTATGGTACTTAAGATTGTTAAGACCTTGTCTCCTAGGAAATTCTTTTCACAACATCTTCATAAATCATCACTAATTTTCAGCCTTGGTTTTCCTATTCCTCTTGTTTCCTTTCCTACCCTAAATTATAATAAGTTCAACTACAAAAATGTCATGCCACTTTATTCTTTCCCTTCCCAAGTACTGTTCAGATATTTTTTAGTGAGCACTGCTTTTAAGTCTATGTCAGCTACTTCTGTCATAGCTGATAGTATCCAAAACCCTGTCATCCTGTGTATCTGCTGGCCCATCTGTCCTTACTATAGCTCTGTAATGTTACAGAGCAACTTTCCAGATAAATGCAAATACCTTAGTGTGGGCTGATGGATAAGATGGGAGGAACATTACACGACTTCTGTTGGTATCTCTTAATTTTGTATTATCTTGTGACTTAAAGATACCATCACAAACACTCCCATGAGGTTGTCACCACCAAAACTTAGCTGCACAGCCTTTTAGTGAGGGACAGTAAAGGGTGAAACTTCCAGTAAGAGAATAAGTGAGGAGCTCTTGGTGCCCTTTTCTCTTATGTGCCCCAAGGACTAGGCCTGGGTAAAATAGGCAATAAATAGTATATCTATGACTGTGTTAATTTAGGCCCCACTAATGCAATATATCTCAGTGTGTATGTGTCATACACACAGATACTGTACCCTTCGTTTATTGGTCTCATGAACTGAGTACCACATTATATTGTGTCCTCTGTGATAAAATGTATGTGGTATGTGGCAATGTCTTCTCACATATTCATTCTAATTGGGTAAAATTGTAAAACTAAAATGTATATAGCTAATATTTTGGCTGTGACATGGCTCCTAAGAGCTAGCTGCTTCTAATCCAGCCTTAGTGTATCAATTACCAAAGTAGAGACTGAAGCAAAATCTTGTCCACAAGCCATTTTAAATATCCCTTTAGCTCGGGGTAGTTCATAAGTGGTTTAACCCTATTTCTACAACCATTTTGCTTAACATGCTATGAGAGGCTCAGTCCTCTACAGGATGTTTTTATATCAGTATCGGTCTCAGCTCAGAGGTGTAAAGGACAAGAAAAGGAGATTGTGGCTTCCTTTACAGAAGTTTAATGTTAGCCACAGCCTGTCATACACAGAAGCAAGGTTTCAGTATTCCAACACAGGTTGCAATATGCAGTCCTTATGTATTTTCTGGTGGTGTCAACTGGAAAACCTCTGATCAGAGAGGGCCTCCCACTCTGCTGTTAAATAAACGTTAGCTGTTGCTGTGCTTGTCTGTGAACAGGGAAGCCTAGGACACACTTGGAAAGGCCAAATTGTTAAGATAGACTCCATGCACCTGGTTGACAGGATTGCTTTTCTTTAAATGAACTTCATTTCTATATGTATTATTCTCCTTTCCCTCTCTGGGGATGAACTGCATTTGAAATAAGCTTGTACCTACTGCATTTGTTTTCCCAAAGCTAGTGTGGTAGAGTGTTTTAATTTGAAAAAGAGGAAAAACCAGAGTTTTGCAGGTGAAAACTGAAGGAAAATGGGTACAAAACCTCCAAAGACAGCTGTTTCCAGCAGCTTTCTAGCTAATGAATGACCTATATGCTGCCTCTAGTGTCCATCTGTATTGTATTTCTGAACTGAACCTTCCGATTGTAAGCTTTTTTTGGCGCGTTTGTGTTCCGTTTTGTTTTTAAGCTCTCCCAGTACTTTTCTATGGATGACTGCAGCACTGACGCTGCTGAGTCCCTTTATCACAAAGCAAGTGTGTAGGGTAGCTTCAGGCCACTATTAGTGAGGAAGCCAAATGTCCTCTGTGCCTTCTTTCTTTCTGTGAGCTAACTTAAAGACGTCCAGAAAAAGGAACCTCTGGAGACTCCCATCCTGTCTAACAAGATGCCACATATATGCATTTGCACAGGTAAAGGGGTGTCTTGTCTGGAACTCAGCAGCAGCTGTAGATCTGTTAAGACTCCCTGACATAAGTAGTTCTACGTGATGACTTTGCTGGAGTATGAAAGGAAAGTGAAGACTTCGGCCAGTTCTGGTATTGCTCATAACTGACCAAGAGGCTAATACTAAACTTGGAAGATTATTTAGGGTTCAAGCAGCGTTTGTTTGTTGAATATGGCTATCCATGGGTATGTGAAAATTGGAGGAAACTTAAGAAGTAGTCTAATGGTGTGGGTGAAGGTGCCAGGTGCTGTTCAGTACCACACTCTACAAAAGTTCCATTACATTTTTTTATTCTGGTTGCTGAGCAGCCATTGGGCAAAGCCTAAGACTACTGGGTACCTTTACAAGCCAGGCTGATGCTGCACCATTGTCATGTGAGGAAATAGTGTACATGTTCTAACTGCTAAACTGGTAAGGAACCTAGTGACAGAAAATAAAGAACAAAACAACAAAAAGGTTGACAGATATCAAACTCGATCAACTATATTTGAAACATTCCAGGAAGGTTACTTCTTGTCAAACTTGCCTGGGGGTGTTTGTTCAAAACCTGTATTTAATAAATGAGCACCTGACTTACCACCTTTGTTATCCCTTTATTACAGTATTAAAAGCCAGCGGCAGCCTGGTGTGGTGGTGTATGCCTGTAATCCCAGCTGCTGATTGGTAGGAGGAATGGAGAGCAAGGCCTGCCGGGGCTACCTAGTGAATTCAAGGCCACCCAACTTAATTCTTTTTCTTTTTCTTTTTCAAGGCAGGGTTTCTCTGTGTAACCTTGGGTGTCCTGGAACTTGCTCTGTTGTCCAGGCTGGCTTCAAACTCACAGAGATCTGCCTGCAGTGCTCCACTACTGCCTGGTTTAAACTAAAATTTAAAGGGGATATAGCTCAATGGTAGAGAGCTTGCCTAGCATAATACACATTGCTAAATTCAATCGCAGTACCATCACCATGGAAAGAAAGGGGGGAAAAGCTAGTGACATTTCAAAAGTCCCTCTGAAAAGCTACAGGGTTTTGCCACTCTTTAAACAAGGTACTAGCAAATGTGTGTAACCTGACTGGCCTAATCTGCCTCACCACAGACCTCTCTACAGGGCCCCGGGGGCTATCCTAAGAAGAAGAGTCTCAAGGATAGTTTTTTTCTAATTTGCTCCCTTATGGCTTCACTTTATCCAGCCTAAACACAAGGCCCTTTAATAATTTGCTGCCATGTCCTCATCCCGTTTATATGCCTGCCCAAGATGCAGAATCTCAGCCTAGGTTATTTGAAAATTACTCTCTGCTCTGATATCTAAACTACAGGCAACTGCTGGATGAAAATAACAAGTCTTTAGAGTACTGGGACCACACACTGGTTGGTTCTACCTGCCCAGCAACTCTGCTCTGTGTCCATAAGATATTCTGAAATTTAGCCTCTCACCGAAATTCTTTCTTCTTCCATTTACCTTTCACATTCAGGTGGCATCCATCAGCTTCCTGACTTTGAAACTTTTCTCCCATCACCCCACTCAAGGAAAGGGTCCCACCATTCCCAAACATTCCCATCTTTGTTGCTGTCTTGCAGTTCCTGGCAATTCCCCTTCTCTAACTTCAGTTTCTCTTAAGTTCCACATTCCCCATGGGCTGTCTGACTTGCATTCACTTCCATATTTCTTCACCGATGCAATCTGGCTTCTAAGATTTTGGAACTATTTCTAGTTAATATCACAGATGTTCATATTGATAATTAGCTTGCCTATCTTTTCCCCAGAATATATAGTCTTACCCTGTAGTCCAGACTGGCCTGAAACTCCCAATCCTCAGGCTCTTGTATGCTGGGATCTCATGGGTTTCACCACACAAATAATCTTTCCTGCCTTAATTTGAAATCAATATCTAAGGCAGTTTGTCTCTTCTTCATTGAAATGCTCTTGACTCCTTAATCCCACTTCTAATTTTTCTTTCTACCTAACCATCCCATTAGTTTTACTTCTAATACGAAGGCCTCTCCAGAACTTCTGTTCTCATAAAATGTCACTTTGCTACATTGGTTTTTTTTTTGTTTGTTTGGTTTGGTTTTGGTTTTTTTCCCTATCATGTCCAAGTTCCAACCCTTTGGAATTTTTGGAGTTTTTTTACACATCAAGGATCTCTAGGTCGCCAGCCAGTGGTGGCGCACGCCTTTAATCCCAACACTCGGGAGGCAGAGGCAGGCGGAGTTCGAGGCCGGGCTGGTCTGACAGCCTCCAAAACAAAACAGAGAAACCCTGTCTCGTAAAAAAAAAAAAAAAAAAAAAAAAAATCTCTAGGTCTACCCAGATCAGCACTTTGCCTGATCTTATGTTCCTCTCTGTGTTTATCTTACAACTCCGATACTCCTTATATGACCATTTAGGAATCTCGGGTCTCTAAGGGGACAATACCCAAAGCGTTCACCGAATTCCAAAATGCCTGACATAGTGTATACCCTCAATACATGTGACTTTCTTCCTCCTGTCCGCATAACTCCATGTGGCTTGTTTGGAAAACCGGGATTGGATTCCAATTCTAATATTGGCTGCGGCATAAAATGAGATTATAAAAGGTCAGTTATAAGAAGTAGTTGATTCGGTGAGTCAGTCTGTTGACTTGGATTATGTGACGCCTACATGGTCCCTTAAAGCTCTTATTTGGCCTTGGCCCTGCCATGCCTCTAAAACAAACATATCAGCCCACGAGCATCTCACGACGCCCTGCGACCTCGCTTTCCATGGTCACTGAAAATCTACGAAACTGCCGCAAGCCAAAGTGGAGATGAAGCTAAGAAAATTAATGACGCATGCGCATTTCCTTACCTCAACAATCTTCCGGGCCGCCATGAATGGCTGCCCCAAGCAATGCCTGTTTCCCGAAGAATTGTACTATTCTCCACATGCTCTCTTACTTCATCTTTTCATATCTACATTTAATTAGTAATGCACAAAATAAACGGACCAATTATGTTCCACAAACACGGAAGGGATACCTATATATTTTGAACAGGCATAGAGAGGGGCAGCCTGACCTTGGAAGTGGGGCAGGGGGCCTGCCACGGGTCCTTTCGAGGGTGACATTCAGCCGGCGGTGCGAGGAGACGGACCTTCCACCCTAGGCCATGGCCAAGTTCGTCCGTAACTTCGCGGAGAAGGCCCCGGCGCTAGTAAGCGGTGAGCGGCGGCCCTGGGCAGGCGCGCGAGGGGAAGGAGTGTGCTGTGGGCACCAAGGGGCCCGCGGGCGTCGGGAGGGCCGCCGGGAGGTCGCCGGAAGGCTTCAGCCTCGCCCAGCTGCACCCGGCTTCTTAGGGCGCACAAGCTGTTGGGCCCTGACCGCGACAGGGAGGGAGGGTCGGGTGGAGAAGCCCCGCTTCACTCCGCCGCGAACGCCATGAGTTCGCCATGAGGCCCCCCTTCCCCTTACCGTGCTTGGAGAACTGGGAAGGGGAGGGCGGAAACAAGGAAAAGGTCGCGCGTCCGGCCTCGCTAGGTGGTCTGGATCTCAGCAAAATATTTGGAAGTCATCAGGAAATTTTGAAGACGGATAACCTTTGAAAGTTGTGATTGCTTACCGTGCCTCGGTCAGATCCTAGAGAAGTCTGCGTCCGGCGAAGGGAAATTGGAACGTAGGGATGACTCTTCCCAACCCGGTCCGCGGAGAAAGCGAAGCCTGTTAACAGTCGTCTTTATCGTGGTGGCTTGGCATTCGTGAGGCTGTTTGAAAAGACTGGTAGACCGCTGTATCTCAGATGAACACTGAATAGTCACAAACCTGCATAGTATATCCTGTCGGTGCAGTTCTTTTCTGAGTAACGGATTATTCATTGTGTTTCTGAAGCGGGAGGTGAAAATAGCGATCTTTAAAAATCATGTAGTGCTTTTGAGCTTGTCTTGCTGTGTTTGGATGGTTAGTAATTCGTTTTCTCCTCCCCTTCATCACCAGCCGAACAATAATGAGCTATTGAAGATCGTAGAATGCCAGACTCTATATTGGAGTTCCTCCTACAGAACTGCTAGTAAGCAGTTTTCCACATTTTCCCAAAGAATTTCTTGTTCTCATCTTTAACTTTACTAAGATCAGACTATCCGTTGCAGACTGCTAAAATTTTGTTTGTTTCTGTTTTTCAAGACAGGGTTTCTCTGCATAGCCCTGAGTGTCCTGGAACTGTCTCTGTAGACCATGCTGGCCTCGAACCCAGATCTGCCTGCCTCTTCCTCCCAAGTGCTGGGGTTTTTATTTTTTAACAGTTTCGTACATTTATATAATGAATTTTAGTCTTTTCACACATGCATATCATTCCCCTTCCTTTCCTGGACCTCTTGTCAGCAAGTCCACCTCCTACCTTCACCCCACCCCCCAAGAATGTTATTTTACAATGACATAATGGTGGTGACCAGCCTGATGTCGTCTTTTGTGTCTGCATCCATTCTTTAGAAACAAGTAACCAGAGCAGGGGGGTTTTCTGTTAGAGTGGTGAGTGGGTCCATCTTCTACATAGACCAAGTGGAATTCTGTTAGAAAGATCTGTCTTGTCAACTGGGTGTTGGTGGCCCACACCTTTAATCCCAGCACTTAAGAGGCAGAGGCAGGTGAATTGCTGTGAGTTCGAGACCAGCCTGGTCTACAAGGGCTAGTTCCAGGACAGCCTCCAAAGCCACAGAGAAACTCTGTCTGGAGGGGAGATCTGTCTCATCTCCATTTCTTTTTTTCATTTTGTTCCCCCTTTTTTTTTTCAGTTGTACATTGTACTGGCTCATTTAAATTTGTTTCGTGCATCTCATATCTAATTCTGTGTCATTTATTGCTGAGATTGTACCATCCTTGGCCATCTGTAGATCTCTCAAGTGGTACCACTGCCCCCTTTAACGTGTCTCCTTATCTTTTTAGTTCTACATGATGAATCATCTTTTCATTTTCTCCGCCCAGCCTTAGAATTGGCCATTTCTCAAAAAAAAACCCTAGTTCCTTTTATTAAATAATGGGAATTTACACATCGCCATCGTGGTACTGGGTTTTTTCTTTGCTGCTGGAGTCCATTTTAAAGTTCTCTCAGTAAGCAATTTCATTTACTGTAATAAAACACCAAAGGGGGGGTGAGTATTTCATGTTTAGTGTGAAATCCTTGATCTAGGGAAATCAGGGCAGGAACCTGGAGCCAGGAACTGAAGTGGAGATTATGGAAGGATGCTGTTTTATTGGCTTGCTCCCCATGGCTTATTCAGTCTCCTTTTATAGCACCCAGAACCACCAGCCCAGGGGTGGTACCATACTAGGTGAGCTGAGCCCTCTCAGATCAATCACCAATCAAGAAAATGCACCACAGGCCAAACTAGTAGGGGCATCTTCTCAATTAAGGTTCTTTCTTACGAAACAACTCTAGGTGTGTCAAGTTGACACAAAGCTAGCCAACGCAACAGATATTCAGACACATACTTACGTATTTGCATGTTAGTCTGTGTAGGTAAATAATTGGGTCTGGGACTGGAGAGATGGCTCAGTAGTTAAGAGCACTTGTTGCTCTTACGGTTTCTTTTGTTTGTTTGTCTTTTGTATTTTTCCAGATGGGTTTCTCTGTGTAGCTCTGGCTGTCCTGGAACACACTCTGTGGACTAGGCTGGCCTCAAACTCAGAGATCCACCTGTCTCTGACTCCCAAGTATTGTGATTAAAAGCATGTACACATGCATGAACACACACACACACACAAACATACACGACTACTTTTACGGTTTCTATATGTGTTTCTCTCAGTTTGTGTCTCTCTGTCTCTGTCCCACAACTTCAGTCCTGGACTTTGCATGTGCTCTACCACTGAGCTACATCTCCAGACTCTGTGCTGATTTTGTCGTTATTTCTCCTGCTGAATTCATTGATTTGAAATAGTGAATATGTCAAGAAATTTCAAATTAGTAGCAGATTCTAGGGGTTTGGTTGGTTGGATGGTTGTGGTTTTTTCGAGGCAAGGTTTTCCTGTTGTAGCCCTGGCTGTCCAGGAACTCGCTCTGTAGACCAGGCTGACCTTGAACTCAAAGCTCTGCCTGCCTCTACCCCCAAGTGCTAGGATCAAAGGTACACACCACCACCACCACCCAGTGCGGTCTAGTTTCGATTGCTCTTACCAATACATCTAAGTTTTATTTGTATTATGAGTACAGTGTTTGAAAGGGGGTGCAACTGTGTGCTAGTGAGAGATTTAATCCAGCATATATTGCTAAAGATACCAAAAATGGATACTAATTGGTATAATTTCATCTGGACTTGTGACCAATATTGTGATGAGCCTCAATCTCATTGTTAAAAGGATGCTATTCTACATAGCTTCTTCCCTTTCTAGACTCCTCTTCAAAATCTGGTGTTTCTATAAAGAAAAATGAATAAATTGCTTTATCTTTGTTTTCAGATTAGGGACTAGTAACTTTACAGTTAGAGTTGCCATTCAGAGGTGACTAAGTACTCTAGCTGGCCACTAGTGAGTCCTGGCGTAATTGACTGCTCAGTTGAGTGTCTCTGTGTGACACAGGTGTCTGCATCTTTAAAACCCTCTTGTTACCCAGGAGCAGCAGCTCTGACTTCTCAACACTGGCTGTGCATTCGGTCCAAGCAGTGAGTGTATGTGATACATGAATAAATATTTGTGTCCAGCCCACACATCTGCTTCTTTCTATCTCTAGTGAGTTCATCCTGGGTTTTTTGTTTTGTTATGTTTTATTTTCCAGCTGCCGTGACTTACTCGAAGCCTCGTTTGGCCACATTTTGGTACTACGCCAAGGTTGAACTGGTTCCCCCAACCCCTGCTGAACTCCCTGCAGCTATTCAGAGTGCAAAAAAAATAATTCAAAGTGCTAAAACTGGTAGCTTCAAACAGCTTACAGTTAAGGTAACTATGGGCTATGAAAAAGTATGTTTGTGATAGAAAAATGTCTTCCCTGGGGATTCTTTCAGTTCTTTTGATTAATATATGTATTTTCAAATGAGGCGGAATCCAACATAATGAGAGATAATCTGTTTTTTGGCTGCCAAGAAAAGACATTTTCTTTTCTCATTTTGTAGTCTATATAGAAATAATTCAGCTATTCTTTGTCTTGGTCTAGTTGTGGTCTTAGAGCAAAAGGGTGATCATCTTGAATAACTGGCAGCCTTGATTTCCTTCCTAATATTAGCTGATATATTATAATCTAATGGCTGCCTTTTTGGTTTGTTTATTTTGTTTTCGTTCTAGAATTATCCTCATTTTGGCCAAAGACCTTTGTAATTATTAGGCAGAACAAAGAATCCAAAATCTGGGTTTTCAAATTGCATGTAGATTAAAGGCCACAAGAATTGGAACTTGACTTTTAAGTTCTAGTTCTAGTAACTACTGGGGCTAGAGCCCTCACCTGGAGAGTGGGTGACAGGAGACTTATAGTGACCTCTGGTGTTGCTGAATAGGAAATGACCTCTTGTTAATAATAGTAAAATCGCCCCCGGTGGTGGCGCCCGCCTTTAATCCCAGCACTCGGGAGGCAGAGGCAGGCAGATCTCTGTGAGTTCGAGGCTGGGCTGGACTGACAGCCTCGAAAACAATACAGAGAAACCCTGTCTCGTAAAAACCAAAAAAAAAAAAAATAGTAGTAGTTAAGTCAACCAGTTCATTTGTGGGAAGGTGTTTTTTCCAACTAGAGTTTCTAGATCCAAGTTTGCTTGAATGAAACCATGCTTTCTAGAACCATGTGTGGTTGGGTTTTTCCCCCTTTGGGGTTGGGGGGGGTCAGAAATAAAATAAATATTGAATACTTGGAAAGAATTTAACCAAATCATAGTAAATAAAAATGAAATAAATGGGATATAAATGGGAAGAAGCCAGAGTTCTTCATTGTTGATGGACAAATCTTCCTATGAATGCCCTGTCTAATGTGTGGGCCACTTCCAGGATGTGGGTTGTTTTAGGGCCCATAAAGTGTCTCATAAACTAATAATGAAAGGGTTAAGCCTGTTCAGGTCTTTAAAAATTCCTTTGAAAGAATTTATAAGCTCAGGCCCATTTACCTTACAAAATTGAAAGTTCTTAGAAGTTGAACATCAGTAATTCCTGACTTTGGCTAAAACTGTTACGTAATTTGGAATAGCATCCTTATATTCTCTATCAATCCTGAGAGAGAATAGTTTCAAATATGTGGTGGGTCTTTTGTTTGTTTTTTGAAGAACCTTAACATTTGTGCTCTTTGTTTTCCAGGAAGCTATGCTGAATGGTTTGGTCGCCACTGAGGTGTGGATGTGGTTTTATATCGGAGAGATCATAGGCAAACGTGGCATCATAGGCTATGATGTTTGAAGGCTGATCTTTAACGTCTGATTTTATTTGAGTTTTTATTTGAATGTTCTTGAACCACATGTAATGAGACTGCTATCTGAATAAAATACTAGCTGTCGAGTAGCAGTGTTTTTCTCTGTCAAATACTGGGTGGATGGCCATAGTTTTTCCTGATGGTAAGCTGAGTTTTCTTTGGCCTTTGTTACGTTGGTACAGTTTTAACCTGAAATTAGAAAAAATGGGTGTGAATATATTCACATGGTATATAATACACGATGATAAAAATTTAATTCAAAGGTTTAAAACATTATTAGCCACTCATAGTAGCCCACATTTTAAAGCCAAGCAGTTGGGAGGTAGATTTGGGAGATCACAACAGATTTGAAGACAAGTTTGTCTGCATAGTTCCAGACAGCCATGATTATACAATGAAACTCTCTTTAAAAAGAGAGACACCAAAAATTTAAGCAGATATAGTGGCATACACCCAGCAACTGAAAAAGCTATTGTAAAATCACTTAAGGAGTTTAAAGCCAGCCTGAACATATAATGAGACTTTGTCTCAAAAGGAGATGTAGAGGAGGGGCAAGAGTTTAAGGTCATCTTGGGCATATGACACCTCATCTAACAGTAATAACAAAAAAGAAAATTGGATTATTTTTCTCAACAACTCTGTAAAAATGTTGGGGTACTTTTCAATGTGAATATTTGCCTCAAGAAAGAGTAGTAGGGGAAAGTATCCTTAGATGTATGTTCATAGTATCTTTGACAGTAGAGCAGGGTAAAAGAGCCATGTAACTGTGATGGCCTGGTGTGGTGACACACTCCTCTTATCCCAGCTAGGGGCAGAAACAGGCAGATCTTTTGAGTTCAAAGCTGTCCTAGTCTACTTTACCAAGTTTCAAAACAGCCAGGACTATATAGACAGACCCTGTCCCTCTCTTTAAAAAAAAAAATCTAACTGGGATGTATTATGCTAATCTGGTTTTATGACTTTTATAGCTTTGTAAGATCCAGTAGATAACAGTAACTACAGTATCATCCAAGTGTCTAAATAGTGTGTTATGACCTCAAATAAACAGTGATTAGCATCAGTTTGTCTTGTGGATGTAAGAGGAGATACTAATCCAACATTGCCTTTTCCTCCAGCCTTACAGCCTCTGCTGAGGGGTGTTTCTAACCCATTCTTAATGTTTGCAGCTGCTGCTAAGCAAGGTTGTTGTACATTGCTTGTAAAAGTATATGGTCTAGCCAGGCGGTGGTGGTGCATGCCGCTTTTAATCCCAGCACTGGGGAGGCAGAGGCAGGCAGATCTCTGTGAGTTCCGGACCAGCCTGGTCTACAGTACAAAATTGATCATTAGTGTTAAGCTGTTGTCCTTTTAATCCCACATTTACATTCTAAATTTGGAGCACTGACCCTATACCCTAATGAAGAAGTGGCACAACTTTTCTAGAGTAAACAACAGGTCTCTGGGAGACTGCTACTCTTCTGAAATACAAAGTAATGTTCAACAACTTATGCAGGAACACAAGTGATCAAAACTGAAACCACCCTATTTCTAGAAGTATTCCGTCATATCGAAAAGAAGGACTGCAGAGGACTTCTACGGTGATTTAGGTGAATTTCTTTTCCATGTAGTTGTATGAGTAGTAAAACTAACCAGGAGTTAAACAAAACTATGAAGTCAGCCGGTGCCTACTGCAGCATACAAAAATTCATAATATGTAATGCTATTTTTTAAGCAACAGTCACACCAGAAGGCCTTAACAGTTTCCATTCCACTACTTCCTCCTTCACCCTACAGCACACCTCTGTCTATGACTCACACTGTGTCTCTAGTATTTCTTAGATTAAAACAGCAGTGGGCTGCTTGTAGTCATTGCTGGGTTTCACCAGGCTTCTTGCCCTCAGTGCTTCCACAACCTTGCCTCCTAGCAGAGAACATATGGAGTTTCATGAAGTTGTGAATCCTGAGTGCTTTTTTTTTCCTTGTAGTTCAGTTGCTTACATGTACCAACTAAGCTCTGAGTACTTCCTAGACATAGAAACCTGTTCAAGAGGTTCAATTCCCAGCACCCACATGGCAACTACCAACCAAGTTCCAGGGAATCCAATGCCCTCTTCTGGCCTTTGGGTACCAGGCATGTACGCAGTGAACATACATTCATGCAATGTAGGCAACACGCCCATACACACAAAAAAATTGTAAGTGCTGTGTGCCAAAACTTCCTGGGGAAATACAACACACATGCACTCACCCCACACAGGAATCCCATAACACCCGAATACGGATGCCACTGAAGTCTAACTTGGTGAACCAGTGAATTTTATTGCGGTTACTGAGGGAAGCAGAAATGACTCAAAAGCAGCTGTGTCACCAAAGCCCACTAGGAAGCCAGAGCACACTGCACAGCCTGCAGGCAGCTCAACAAATTGGAGTGTCCTTTCCAGGTTCTAAGTTGGTCGGCCTCAGTTGATCTAAATCATTTTCAGGAAGCTGGACTGGTGTCAGAATCTACTTTGCAGCTTGGCTTATCTAAGAGTGTTTTGCAGTTCAGCTTCACTTCTGAGGGGCTGGAACTCTCAGCTTTTATCAATTACTCCCACAGGGAGGGGGCCTAGTGAATCTGGTCAGTTTCAGGAACTTACTGAAGCTATTTGAGTTGTTTATCTTCCTGTTTTAGACTCTGTAGAATGGAATGTTTCAATCTCAGGAAATTTATACTACATAAAGGCCAGGATCATATTAGACTATGTAGCAAGGAAACCAGCCCATAATACATTGATACTCTGTCTCAAAAAGAAAAAGTAAGCCTGGTGGTAATGGCACATTACTTTGATCCCAGCACTTGGTAGGCAGAGGGAGGTGGATCTCTGTGAGTTAAAGGCCAGCCTGATCTACAAAGTTAGTTCAGGATAGCCAGGACTGTTACACAGAGAAAACCTGTCTGGGAGCAGAGGGTGCAAAGAAGAAAAGAAAACATAACACCACCTGAAATTTCTGGCATAGTGGGCATTCTGAAAGAACACCAATATGTCTGAAGTAGATAGGAGACAGTAGTAAGAGGTAAAATTATGTTGAGAAGAACATGAAATATCTTTTATGCCATATTAAGAATTGCACTGCCTAGTTGTACACACCAGCAGGATATGCTGAAGAGCCATAGGCAAAAGGACCATCAGTTTGAGGCCAGACTGAGCTATCCCATGAAGCCAGCAAGATGATTCAGTGGGTAAAGGTACTTGTCACCAAACCTGATGACCTAAATTCAGTCTCAGGAACACACATGGTTAAGAAGAGAACCAACTCCTGCAATTTGTCCGCTGACCTCCACATGTGCCCAGCCA